GAGGGGAAGGTCAAGGATGACTTTAAGATTTTTGGTTTGAGAAACTGGTAAAGTGGAGGTTCCAGACCAAGTTTGGAGAAGGAAACACAGAGTTTAGTTTTGGACGCATGAAAGTCTGCGAGCAGCCAAGCGGTGCCGTGGAGTGGGCGGGCAGCTGCACGCCCAGTGATGGGGACGCCAGCTGCACGGACAGCGTCCAGAGCCACCGGAGTGGTCGGGGTGATCTGGGGAGGCAGAGGATTTGTTCAACCGGTCTCATCAGGAATTTCTCTATGCACAGCCCTGATCCACATGTTGGGGCGTAGCTGGTGGGCTAGTGTAGAGGACAGACAGGTAGCTGGGCAATTTCAATCCAATGTTTTGAGTGTTGCTATGGAGGAAACACAGGGGAGGCACCCGATTTGGTCTTGAGACTCACGCAAGACTTCCTGGAGGAAGTGAATTTTATGCCGATACTTGAAAGATACAAGCAGCTAATACTCTCCTTGCACAGTCAGCCTCTGTATCGGTGGGTTCTGCATCTGTGGCTTCAACCAGCTGTGGATGGAAAATATTTGAAAAAATCACATCAGTACTGAACATGCACATAGACTTTTTTCTTGACCTTATTATTAATACCTAAATAATATAGTTCAACAACTATTTACATAGCATTTACGTTGCATTAGGCATTAAAAGTAAGCTAGAGATGATTTAAAGATATGGGAGGATGTGCATAGGTCATGTGCAAATGCTACACCATTTTATATCAGGGTCTTGAGCATTCTTGGACTTTGATATCCTCAGGAGGTCCTGGAACCAAACCCCCGTGAATACTGAGGGACAACTGCACTTTCTAAGTGCCAGGTACGCAGTCCTCAAACTTTGCTGCATGTTAATGTCACTTGGGAAGAATTAAAACCCCCACGTGGCTGAGCCCAGAGTCCATGTGAGAAGGAGATGCCCGAGAGCGTGGACACCAGGAGGTCTGGCTCACTGGGGGCCACAGAGCTGTTTAAGTGGCAAACGTCACTGTTTCTGGAGCTCGAAGAGCTCGTGAAACACGGGACAAGGCGGGGACAGAGGGGCAGACTGGGACCCGCTCACGGGTGGTTTTCCAGTCCATAATAAGAGATTTAAATTTTATTCTAAGTGAAACTGAATTCATTAGAGGATTTTAAACAGGGAAGTTATAGGACCTCAGTAAAGCCATTCTGGGTGCTGCGTGGAGCACTGTTTGTAGAAAGAGGAGGGAGCAAGAAGGCCAGGAGGCCAATGAGGAGACAGCTGCAGGTGTCGGGAGAGGCGATGGCGGCTAGTTAGGATGGTGGGGGCGGAGGTGGAGCGAGGTGTATAGCTTAAGGCCATACCTGGGTGGATCAGAGGGCTCGTGGATGGGCAGGGAGGGGAAGGGAGGGATCTCAGATTGTCCCAAGGCGTTTGGACTGATCACCTGGGTGGAAGAGATTACCTTTACTAATATGTGCTAGGTGTAGTTTCGGCAGCCACAGAGGTTGTGAATAAGAACTCCATTCTGGACATACGACACTATAGATGCCTCTGCGAAATCCAAGAAATTCAAACAGACAATCGAATATTCACATCTAGAGTTTGGACATGTGCATGCCAGACCACAGCTGTGGAGTCTGGGGTTTGGGCCATAATTCCAAAAGATACGCTCCCAAATGCTGTCATCCCAAATGTTGAAATCCTGAAAATATACTTCTGGAAAACATAACTTGAAAATGCTTTAAAAGCAGTTTATTCACATTCTAAAAAGTGGATTTATTTGAGAAACATATAAAAACACAACAGAACACTTTATTGGCCATTTTACACCATAAAATAGGCGATAACAACATACACATTTTTACAAGCAGAAATACATATGTTAATGATATAACAGTTGTGAGCAGACAAACCATATTTATAGAGAAACAGGTCAAAAAGTGAAATGCATAAATGCACAACACTGTGCTTGCTACTGTGCGCACCCGGCTCTGTGACTGCATCATCTGAAGTTCTGTGATGGACAGCCGAAGTCTTTTGAGCAAATTGATCAAAACCCGAGGTGGGTCACCGCTGCCTGTGCAGTCGCCCAGGGGGTTGAGAGAAGAGCACTAATCCCTTCCCTAGAATTCGGCTTGCGGGATCTCAACATTTGGAGTTTTAATGTTTCGGCGTCGTGATTTTCAGCATTTTACATATTAGGGACTTTAGACTTCCGAGGTTTTGATCTTTCAGGAGTTCAGTGTTTGGGATTATGGTGTTCTGGATTGTGCCTTTCAGGGTTATGATGGGCACCGTGTAGTGTGAGGGGTGATGTCCCCTGTTCTCATGTCCCCCTGCAGACACTTGGCTCTCTTTTAGGGAAGGTGTTGCTACAGTCCGGCACACTTTTCTGTGCAATCAGAAGCAAGGTCAAGCAGACACAATAGTATAAATATTTGATATTTTTCTTAATGTTAAGGCCTACCCATCTCATTTTTCCAATGGGGAAATTGAGACTCTGGGAGGAAGGGACTTGCTCAGGATCACACAGCTGCATGTTAGTGGCAGAACTTGCACTTCCTTTCTCTGTGCTTAGATAATCTTCATAGGGCCCTTGGGCTGGGGGAGGAGGCACCAGATCCTGGGAGCACAGAGACCTCTGCCAGGTGGGCTCTGCCAGGTGGGCTCTGCCACTTAGCAAGAGGCCTTTAGTTTGCTGCTTCTCTGTTCCGCCTTCTTGCTCTTCATTCCCCTGGTGAGTTTTGTTAGCTCCTGGGTTTCCAGATATGAAAGCCCCTGGAGGTTGACGGGACCAGGAGGGACGTGATGTGGCAGCTGTTCCACCACTGCCCATGGCAGACATTGCCAGTCTGTCTCAGAACTCCTCATCACTGAGCCTTGAAACCACACTCCTCTGCACCTTGCAGGTAGTTGACATTCCAAAGTTGGCAGATGGGTGAAACCTGGACCATTGCTCTCTGTGTGGAGATTAGGTATCAAGCCAGCATGCAGGGAGAAAATAATGGAGTGCCAAAATCTTGGAAAAGTATACCAAATTCCTCATGAAGTACAATGTTTGCTATTTTGTGTACACGTATTTTTCCTCAATGAGTCCAACACAGCCAACTGTTCACCTAACTTTGGTATAGAAAACTATTTCTTTGTTGAGTTCTGGATGAAAAACATGACTTGCAACATTCTATAATATTGACCTTGAATCCACATAAGTAAAATGCACAGGAATTCTCCCCTGTGCTTGTCGTCTCTCTTCAGAACAATCCTCCTCTCTTCATCCTTCTCTTTGGTTTCAGTTACGTTAGCGAATGCTCATCGAATGCTGACTGTGCATTGGTCCTCCTCTCGGAGCTTTACATGTGTTGATTTAATGCCCGCAGCAACCCTAGGAGTGACTACTATTATTAACCTCACTTTTCAGATGAGGAAACTAAAAATCAGACAGGTTAAGTATTTTTCCCAATGTCACACTGCTCATGAGACAGGATTTGAAGCTGAAACTTTTGTTCCAGACCTGAACTATTTGAGCTGTCCAGAGAGCATCTGCATTAGTGGTGACCTCAGACCAGAACCCAGGCCTTGCTTCTGCCAGTCCAGGGCTCTTTACACACCTCCGTATCTTCCCTCTTGACCTGGCTTCCCTGTACCCTTGCCTGGGGCTGCCGCGTTTGCTGATGGCTGCATTCCTCACCGGTCCTTGGTCATGGTCATCATGGCACGTTGGCTAAGCATGCACTCTAAGGCTCAAACATCATTTTCCCGATCCATTCAAAGCTTTGCTGATCTTGCCTGACATCTGCTTCTCTCAGATTCTCAGCCCCACGCAGCCAGCCAAATAGCCTCTGCACCTGTGAGCTCACAGCCATAGCTGCTCAACCAACTCAGGGCTCTGGGTTCATGGAGAGGGAATGGGAGGATGGAGTAGGGGCTTTGACCTCCTGGGGACCCCAGAATACTCTCCCTAGGGTCTCCTAAAAGTCATTGATCTCGGCAGTTTATCTTTTTAAGGCAGTTTAATCTGACTCCTAGAAGACCCATGAAGTCTACCTGTTATTTAAGGGCCCCAGCTGAGGGGATCAAGATTAGACCTTTGTTGGGATGAAGGCAAGAAAACAGATTCCTGGGACCAGTCAGACAAAGATGTTTGTCCAAACTTCCCAAAGGTCAATAGGTCAAACTTGATGCATACTCTCCTGTTTTTATTGCCAGCATCACCTACACATGCTCAATACTGTGGCTCAAACCAAACACACCTGCAGGGGGCTGTGTCCCCAGGGCTGGGCCCCTGCTCCTAGTGTGAAGCAGGTACCTGCTCCAGGGCGGGTCCCTCTCTGCACACAGGAGCATCCCAGCTGGCACCGGTGACACCCTTCTGGGCGTGCAGGAAAACGCAGCTGAATGTTAAACAAACACCCACTAATTACCCTGAGAATATTTATTGAGGTTTCCCACATTGTAATAAGAAATTATTGAAACATACATCACCTGCCGAGCTGTTAATCATCGGTAAATATATTTTAAATACAGCAGTCCATTAGTATTTTAATTTAGCCTGTCTCCTGGAGAATATGTACCCTATCAGACAAATGTCCTGAGCGTCAGAGCCAAAGGAAAAATTTCCTCACCTAGTTAATCTTTATGCTCTTCTCTTAGGAGGAAATTCCGGTGGCACCAGCAGGAGAAATGTCCCTCTGGGGCCAGTATTAATGGCAAGTGTCCTGGAGGAGCTGATGGGTGAGGCAGGGAGGCCACAGATCTGGAGAGGAGGTGGGGTGGGTGGGGGACCAGGGCAGGGCTGGGAGTTAGGATTGCTGATAATACAGTCCCTGCCTTTCCAGTTTACTGAAACGCAACATGATACAGCTGAAAAAAAAATGCAAGTGATGTATTGAGCCTCAACAGATCTGCCCAGCATGGATGCTCTGAACAGGGTGGCTTCCTTCCTTCCCCGAAGCCTTCCTCCCTGTCCAGGGGTGTGGTTCCAACTTCAAGCTTCCCCTGTGCCTTTATCTCAGGTGACGCCAGGTAGAAAGGGACAGATGCAGTGACAATGAACTGAGAGAGGTTTTTGCCCAGCCTCTGCCTTGGTGACCACTGTGTGAGTTTGTGGGACGCTCTCCCTGGGAGCTGCTTGTTCATTCTGCAGACACCCATCAGCCACCTGCTCTGTGGTAGGTACTGCTCTGGGCCCTGGGGAGGGAGGGAGAGGGGAGCCAGGGAGAGAAGGTGCAGGCAGGCGTGTTCTAGAGAGGGGTGAGTGCTGGCAGCACACAGCAGGGTGATGGGGGTGGGATGGCAGGAAACCCTGCTTTGGACTCAGAATCCATGCTTTAATCCGATAGATGAGGGAGTGGGAGAAATGAATATCTTTGAAGTTTCAAAGCTGGAGTGGATAGTGGGCCACTCCCTGCATCCAGGAATTCAGGGAAGGGCAGGAGGGGTGATGACATCGTTTGGAATATGCTGAGTCAGAGCTGTATGTTGCACAGCTGTTTCAGGAGAAAGGCCTGTGCTGAAAATACTCCCCCCACCCCCATTTGTGGTGGACCTGTGTGATGCACTGAGCCGTGTCCCCTCCGCACATCAGATTTCAGCACCCAAAGTTGGACAGTTCCATGCCTGCCGCCAGTGTCCTGCATGGAGCTTGTCTCTGCGTCTTTGCTTTGCTGCTTGGGTTGGAGCCCTTGGCTCAGTGCAGGGACAACCAGGAGGAGCAGTTAACATCCCCGGGAAACCCTCAACCAAAAGAAGGTGAGAGGTGGTGGATAGATGCCCTGGGTTCTCCATTCTCTGGTGGGGCAGTTCCAAGGGGCTCTGTGTGGCTCCTCAGAGAGTCCCCAGCTCCCCAGCTGCTCATCGATGCACGCGGGATCGGCTTTCTTCCCTGCTCTCCCCAGGCCCCCACTCCCGCTCTCTCAAATAAACTTCTCAAACTCCCTGCACTTGAGTCTTTGTTCCAGGCTCTGCTTTTGGGGCTACACAAATTAGGATGGACTCTGCCATCATGAAACATGCATGAGAGTGTTCAGCACGACCCTGATCAAGGGCAGTGGCGAGTGTCCCAGGAAGAATGGGAGGCAGACGAGGGCTGAGACCACAACCTGAGAAGCACTGATGCTTAAAAGGCAGACAGAGAGGGTAGAGAGCATTCTCCAAAAAGCACACCAATAAACAAATCACCCGAGAGCAAACACGAACAAATGCTTAGACGAAATCCTCAGAAAATTTCTCTTCTTTCTTCCTCTATGGGCTATGAGGGAACAAACTGTTTTCAGGGGAATTTTCACACCCTTGGCCTAGCCCCATCTGGGACATTTTCTTCCCAGACCTTGTTGGTTTGCAATCCAGTATGGTGTATGTGGTGTGAAATCTACCTGTGATGCCACCGGCTCAGGGGGTGTCCCTGACTCACGCCCAATCAGCCACCTCTTCTTCCTGTCGGTTTCTGTCTTTTAAAAATATAATTTTATTTTTAATCGATACATAATAATTGCACATATTTATAGGGGAAGTGTTACATTTCAATACATGTGTACACTGTGTAGTGATCATATCTGGGTAATTAGCAAATCCATCACTTCAAACATATATTATTTCTTCATGTTTGGAACCTTCAAATCCCCTCTTCCAGCTACCGTCAGTTTCTATCTCATTCATCTCTCTCCACAATAATGCTGCATAGCAAACAGCCCTGACACTCAGGGGCACATGCAAATTAGCATTTGTTTCTTGCTCATGTACCTGCTGGTTGCTGGGGGCAGCTTCTGGTTCATAGATTTCCTTTTCAGGCTCAGGCTGGAAGGGCAATAGCTAAGTGAGGCACGTTCTTCTTGGAAAAGAGGTTGGACAGTCTCAGCGGGGTGAGCAGAAATGTACAAGGTGTCGTAAAGCCTGGGCTCTGAATTCACAGACTGTCACTTCCATGCACACCTCACTGGATAAGCAAGACCTATGTCCACGCCCCTGATACCAGGGTGCAAGGAAGCACATTCTTCTCCCGAGGAGCGTGCACAGATGTGTGTAAATGAATACTTGCTAACCACTAATCTCACATCAGGCCCTGTAGCACATGATCTGTGCGTTCCTTGTGGAATTTGCAACTTTCTACCCTTCATTCTGTGCATGTCAATTACATGCTTTGTCTCCCAACCGAACCGCACTGAATGTCTTCAGGGGAGAATCCACGTTGCAACCACTCTCAGTACCTCCTCATCAATTAACTTAGAAAAGGGATATTGCACACAGTAATATGTGGTCAGATGCTGGGTATATTTTGAAGGTTGGCCAAGTAGAATTTTCTGACAGATTGTATATGTAGTATGTGAGGAGATGAGGGAGAGGATGATGTTTTTGACCTGGGCAATTGAGAAAATTGAGTTGCCCTATACATATATGGGAGAAATTGTAGGAGGAACTGATGCTCAGAAGATTGAAGGTCATTAATATCTATTTCATTGCTTGCAGACGTGTGGGATGCTCAATATTTATGGGTGGTAGAGGAGATATTTAGGTGACATGCAGACCCGAGAACAGTTAGCATTGAACTGAGAGTTAGAAAGCTATTTATCTTTCAATTCCTTATCGACTCTTTTGATTAGTTAAAAACAGTCTCCGTTTGCTGCTGGCACGTCTTTAAACACTTGCTGATTTCCCTTTTTAGGAAAGAGAGAGTATGCTGCGGGTTTAGAGAACTGGGCTGGCAGCAACATCTAGCAGGATTTAATAGCAGCATTTTCATTTCATTGTCTTTCTTTTTCTGGATAACTTCTCTTTAGGACTGTTGCTGCTGGTTCACTTACAGGCAAGGTACACGTTTCCTTTAAAAATGGATTTACTTATGCTAAAAAGGGAGTCAGTTTACAGAGAAATGTTTACGTGAATTCATCCGTCTGTTTATTTAGGAAATATTTAGTGGGCATCACCCACGTACCGGACGCTGTTTTGGGTTCTGGGGATACAGCAGTGAACAAAACAGAAGCTCAGGCCCTCATGGAACCTGACGACGTTAAGCTCTGTAGAATAAGCGAAGCAGGAAAAAAAGGGATTGGTGGGGGCAGGTGGCAGTTGCAATTTAAGTAGGCTGGCCAGGGAATGCCTAGTGGGGAAGGCAACATTTGGGAAAAGATCGCAGGGAGAAAAGACCAGATGCCACACTGGTGTCTGAGAAAGAGTGCTCCCGGCAGAGAGAACTGCAAGGATTATAAGCTCCGTGGCTACAACGTGCCTGCCACAGTCAAAGAGATGCACAGAGCCCAGTGTATTTGGAATAGCGGGAGCAAGGGAGAAGGTAGACGGTATCTGGGAGGCAGTAAAGTGGCAGGATGAGACAGAGCCCTGTGGGACACTGTCGGGAATGTAGCTGCTACTCGGGTGGGATGGGAGCCGCTGGAGGCTTTTGAGCAGAGGAGTGATGTGATCTGACTTGCACGCGGTTTAAAGGCGTCACTGTGGTTGGGTTGAGAATAGACTCAAGGGAGCAGGGACTGTATCAGGGATACCTGAGGGGAGGCAGTGGCAGAAATCCAGGTGAGAGACAATGATGGCTTGGCTTGGGGAACGGTGGGGTGTGCTCAGATTCTGTGTGTATCTTGAAGGTAGAGCAGGCAGAATTGGCTGGCAGATTGGATATGTGCTATGTCAGAGAATGAGGGAGATGATAATGCTGTGTTTTATGTTTTGAGACAGGGTCTCACTCTGTCACTCTGGGTAGAGTACAGTGGCGTCAGCCTAACTCACTGAACTCCTGTGCTCAAGCGATCCTCCTGCCTGAGCCTTTGGAGTAGCTGGGACTACAGCCGCACACAGCCATGCTGGGCTGATTTTTCTCATTTTTCATAGAGATGGCGTCTCACTATGTTGCCCAGGCTGGTCCCAAACTCCTGGCCTCAAGCAATATTCTGCCTTGGCCTCCCAAGGTGCTGGGAGTACAGGAGTGAGTCGTCATGCCTGGCCATGGTGCTGTTTTTGACCTAGGCAATTGAGAACTCTGAGCTGCCCTATGCAGAGATTTGGGGAGATTGTGGGAGGAACAGGTGAGGGGTGTGAGGAGTTCCATTTGGTTGTGTTGACTTTGAGATGCCTGTTAGGCGTCTTAGTGAATGAGGATGTGAAGCTTGCTCTTGGATATTTATTGCTGGAGTTGGGGGGGGGGTCCTGACTTAAACCCAGGAGTCATCAGCACACAGAGACAGTGGCGGCTGCAAAGCTGGGTCCCTTGCCTGCCTGCAGCCAGCCCTGCATCTGCATCTGTTAGGTTGGCTAAGGTCCAGGTATGGCAGGTGCAGATGGCACAAGGCCATTTTCTTAGTGATTCTGAGAAGACGCCCCAGTTTTTGTGTGGCTTCAGAAGGGCAAAGAAAAGTTGCTTTGAAAAACTTTCATTTCTGCAAAATCACTCTGCATAGCGAGCTTACATATTAAGCTTTTCACATTGATCTGTCCTGTCGTTCTGATGCCTGAACTTTGCCTTTTTCTTTGCACAGTTCATATTTCCACTGGGAGGCAGTTGTCTGAAGCCTGAACTATATATGTCAAAACATCCTGTTAGGGTTTTCTGAGGTTTCTGATGTTGGACAATTCAGGGCATTTGGTTTCCACATCAGAGGAGGAGATTTTCTTCCTGTTATTACCTTATTGCTGCAGACTAGGTCTCTGCTACTTCAGGTCTTGGGGCCAAAAACAGATGCTGAAGATATATAATGGTTTCTGCTACAAGATAGGAAACTGGCTCAGCCTGAGAATTATGAGGACAATTTCAAATAATGGTGATAACTACCATCAAATGGACACTTGTGCTCACCAGGCTCTGTTTTGCAGTGGATGCTATTGGTGCCCCACCAGGACCCCCTTCCCTGGCTGTACAGTCACACACTAGCTGCTGTGGGTGTGGGCAGCTAACAGCTCTCAGCTGCCGCCTGGGCTGGATAGGATCCACCTCGGGGAGGAGGGGTGCAATAGAAGCCACCTCCCTGGTTGGACAGAAAATACCTCCCCCAGGTGAGTAGGGAACACCTCACCCTAGATGGAGAGGAAATACCTTCCTCCAGGTGAATAGGAAACACCTGCTCTTGTGTGACTAGGAAACATCTCCCCTCCATGGGTGAATAGGAAACTCCTTCTTCTGGGTGAATAGGAAACACCTTCTCCCAGGTGAACAGGAAACACCTTCTCCCAGGTGAATAGGAAACACCTCCCCGAGCTCTGCCTTCGGTAGCAGGCAGTGACTGACTGACCTAGGCCGGCCCTGCCTCCATTTCAGCATAGCTCTGCGGTTGGCCTCATGCTCCAGAGCTGCCTGTGGGATCAGGCTGAAGAGAGTTTTGGGTTGAGACCACTTTCTTGGCTTTGTTCTTGCTTCTTCCTTTCTGCTTCCCTCACTCCCTGACTCCCGAGCATTCCCTCCACTACAGAATCCCAGCCTGGGCTGTGTCTAGGGAACTTGGCTTAAGATAAGTGTTGGGTGCGTTTTATACCATATAACCCTCCAAGAAACCCCCTGACATGGTGCTATTCTTTCTCCTCTGCAGACGCGAATGCAAAGACTCGGACATGGGAGTGACTGGCCCAGAGCACATCTGGGAAGGCACGAGAGCCGGAAGTCAGGTCCTGCGTCTGCCCCAGTGCACCTGCTTCGAACAGCAAGGTATGTTGCCTTGCCATGGGGCTAATCTCACATGCTGCAAACCTCAGATGCCTTCTTCTTTTCTCTTTTTTGGGGGGTCTAAATGTGGATTTTTTAAAGCAGTATTGACTGGAGGGCCAGGGACCAGCTGTCTGCAGTGAGCATGGAATGAGGGATAATCGATACTTGGGCCTGTGGGGAGGGAAAAAAGGTGATTATGCAATAAATGCAGCTACGTTGTACTTATTCTGGCCAAAATAGGTGGATATTGTTGGAAAATCTAAGAACCACTCCCATTAACGTTTTGGAATATAGTCAGAGATTGCCCTTGGCCATTTGTAAGTCATTTACCTACTCGCTATCACCTGTTCTAGACTTGGTCTCAAATGCCCTCTGTCCAGAGGTGCGCAGTGTGTCAGGAGAACAACTGCCTGGTGTTCAGGAGACGTAAATATTTGTCTAGGTCCTACCACTAATTAGCAAGGTTTCCTTTTGCAAGTTTTCAAACCATGTTAAATAAAACAGTCACCTCATCTGTAAATTGGGGAAAATGACTATTTCCCCAATTATAACCTCATCATAAGTGCTTGAAAAAGTACATGTTGCCTCTGAAAGAGAAAAATTACGATGGGTGGATTTTCTGGGTGAGGAGAGGGTCCAAGTTCCCCTGTGTAACACTCAGAGGCTTCTGCCTCCTGGTGAATCAGCTTGTGTTTCAAAATGGAATGCTGCCCTGACACGGACAAATGAGCTCTGACTGGTACACATGTAAGGGCAAACCTCTGGGCCCAAAACGCTCGTGATGCCCCTGCTGGATGTGAGAGGGCTGGTGACAAAGCAACCATGCTCAGAAAGGATTTAAGGGTTTTTGATTGACAGCAAAGTCAATTTCAGCCAATCATGATGATGCCATCATGCTTGTGAGAACATAAACATGATTCTCACTTGTCTTAAGAGAAGTAGAGAATGCATGGTCTCATTCCAATCAAGATTGGTGAGATTACAGTTGGAAAACAAAATAATAATGATGAAAGCTTCCATTTATCGATCACTTCCATTGCAGCAGGCGTTGAGCTAGAACCAAACCTGCAGTGTCTCTGGGGTGTGCTTGTGTTTGCTGCGTGAGGACGTTTCCATATCGACTCTCTTTTGTACTAGCTATGTGCCGTTTGGCAAATTGCTTTCTTTACCTTTCTGTGCCTTGGTTTCCTCATCCATAGAATGGGGATATGAATATATATTCTGTAGGGTTGTTGGTAGAATCAGATGTAATGTTGTATCTAAAAGGATCTAGACACAAACCAGGCACTTAATAAAATAAATTCTTTTCTTTTCTTTTCTTTTTCCTCCCTCTTCTCTCTCTTTCTTCTTTCTCTTCTTCTTTCTTTCTTCTTCTTTCTTTCTTTCTTTCTTCTCTTCTTTCTTTCTTTCTTTCTTTCATTTTCCCTTCCTTCCTTCTCCTTCCCTTCCTGGGTCCCTTCCCTGGGCCCTTCCCTGCCCCTCCCCCTTCCTTGTCCGCTTCCCCTTCCTTCCTTTCGCCTTCCCTTCCTTTCCCGTTCCCTTCCCTTCCCTTCCCTTCCTTGCCCCCTTCGCCTTCCCTTCCCTGGTGCCCTTCCGCTTGCCCTTGTCGGGCTTCCTGGTCGCGTCCGTTGTCCCCTCCCTGCTCCCTTCCGTGTCCCTTCCTTGCCCTTGCCCCTCCTTCCTGGTCCCTCCCTTCCCTTCCCTTCCTTCCCTGTCCCCCTTCCCTCCTCTTCCCCTCCTTCCCTCTCCTTCCCTTTCCCTTCCTTGCCCTCCCCGCGTTCCCCTTCCCTTCCCTGTCGGCTTCCCTTCCCTTCCCTTCCCTTCCCGTTCCCTTCCCTTCCCCTTCCCTTCCCTTCCTTCCCTTCCCTCCCCTCCTCCCTTCCTTCCCTTCCCTTCCTTCCCTTCCCTTCCCTTCCTTCCCTTCCCTTCCCTTCCTTCCCTTCCCTTCCCTCCCTTCCCTTCCCTTCCCTTCCTTTCCTTCCTTCCTTTCCTTTCCTTTCCTTTCCTTCTAAGTGACTTTCTGTCCTCCTTCTCTAGCGTTGTGAAGCCTACAGGTTACTGTAGTTCCTTCCTCATCCAAGGCCAGCGTTGCTTCTGAAACTGGAGCTTTACTTTTTTGGGCTGCATCCTCTGACAAGGGGCTAGAAGCCGGGACAGATGCAAGCTCGTGACTTCCTCTCCAGGAGTTCCTAGCAGGGAGAGAACGATACCCTGCCTGGGCTCTGGCAGGCGGCCCTGGGCTGCTGCATGCAGACAAGGAGTGGCCCTTTCAAAGCAGTTAGCCAGCAAGGCGGGCCACATCTTCCAACAAAGGAGGTTTCCAACTTTGCACCATTTTTTTTCCCAAATATATCTTTATTTTTAACACATAAAACAAATACACTCTTAATATAGGACCATCTAACAAATCATTAAAGTAAGACATTAATGACATCTCCCAATACTACACAGTAGGGGGGAACAGCTCTTAATATTTTGGTGCATATAATGCCAAGCATTTTATATACACACACACACATATATATAACACATAATTTTAAATGTGATCATTCTTATCTGTATCATGCTTTTTTCACTTAGCGTTTTCTCATGTTGGCATAAATGCACTTTGTACTTTTTAAACATCTGCATAGAATGCCGTTATATCCTGCATCTTTAATTTGCTTAACTAATTAATGGTTATTTGAGTTATGTCCAATTGTTTTGCTAATGATGAACATCTTTGTCTACTCAGGATATGCCTGCTTTGAATCTCTCATGCAAGATAGATCTTTATGTCCTGAAAAATATTTGGATGTTGGAAACAGCTAAGAGTAATTTGGCATCAACTTTGTCATGATTCTTGTAAGAAGTATTTATTCAGCGCTGAATGTTCCAGCCCCCACTGGGTTCTGTGGGTACAGAGAGGAGTTCAGGTTCGTCAACACAGCCTTGTCATGTGGGCTTCATGTGATGAGGGCCCTCAGGGATGGGTGAATAACCTTGCTCTGGGGTGGTTGGAAAGGAATTAGGGAAGGCTTTACAGAGGACATTTGATCTGAGCTTTAAGTAGTAGAAAAGGAAAAAGAAGGACATTTTAAATGTCAGAAATAGATCTTACAAAGACAGAGAGGGATGTCATAACGTGCCTTGTTTTGTACCTGGCAAATCATAGTTTGGGTCTGAAACAGAGATGGGTGTTCTGTGCATGGAGGAGGGAGGACCAGGCAGGAAGCTGCTCAAGGCAGCCAGGGCCAAAGTCCATGCTGAGAAGCCTGAACTTGGAGGGAGGGAGAAGAGTGACGTGTTAACTGAGGTCCTGGGCTTTGGAGTCTAGCCAGGCTCCGATCCTCACCCCGCCACGCTACCGCAAGACCTTGCCTGAGGACTGAGGGAGGTTCACTCTGGCCCTCCTCTGGCTGTGCTGCTCACATGGGATGGGGAGTCAGTGGGGCCAAGGGGGCATGCCCACCCAGAACCCATGCGCCCTTCTTCTGGACCATGCAAACTGTGGTTCCTGTCCAAACATCCCCTAACCCAGCGGTCCTCAGCCTTTTTGGTACCAGGGGCTGGTTTCATGGAAGACAATTTTTCTATAGACAGTGGGGGTAGAGGAGAATGGTTTTGAGATGATTTAAGTGCATTACATTTATTGTGCACTTTATTTCTATTATTATTACATTGTAATATATAACGAAATATTTCTACAACTCACCATAATGCAGACTCAGTAGGAGTGCTGAGCTTGTTTTCCTGCAACTAATGCCACCCTTGATCTGACAGGAGGTGGAGCTCAGGAGGTGATGCGAGCAATGGGGAGTGGCTGTAAATACAGAGGAAATACTGTGCTGTGCAGCCCTGTTGCTAACAGGCCACACATGGGCACTGGTCTGCAGCCAGGGGCTTGGGGACAGCAGCCCTAACTACTTCCAGGGTCTTGCATGCACCTCTTTGCAGAGTGCATGCCCTCAAGGACGTGCCATGCCTCTCGTGTGCACGTCCCTACTCTGAGCGGTGTCCCAGGGATGGCTGTTTGCAAGCGTGTGGGTGAAGCTCTGATGCGCAGGCTCAGTGTGCACATATATGTGGCGAGGCCCCGCCGCAGGAGAGGGAGCCAAGATGGAAAGAAAGGGAGTGGGCTGCAAGCTCCAAGCCTCTGCTTGCCTGGGGCCCTGTAAGTGTCCTGGCAGTTCTGATACCCAGCCTGCCTGCTTCTTCACTTCCTTGTCTGTAAAGCAGGACTCAAAACAGACCCCGCATCATAGGTATATGGTTGGAGATTAAGATATCAGATGTAAAACACTTGCCTAGCATTCACTAGGTGCTCAATAAAGGCTTACTGTAGGCGGCAGGGTTCTCAAGGGGGCTTTGCAGCTGGGGACAGCATGCTGGATATGGCAATGTGGTGTGGAGGATGGGCTGGGGGAGGGAGCTGAAGAGGGGGAGACTAGCTGGGAGCCACCAATGGTGCTGACGTGTTGATGGGGATCTGGACTGTCCCGGGCAGTGGGCTGGGGAGAGTCATGGGGCGTCTTCAGGCCATCCACAGTCACTGGAGTTGGGGACATACACCACTTTCCCGATAGGCATTGAAATCTGCATTTCTTTGGCATGACCCACTGACTGCCAGCACGAGAGCGCTGGGGTGGTTTTGCTGAAGTGCAGATTCCCAGACACCAGCTCAGACACAATCGCTCAGGATCTCTGGGGAGGGGACCCTGAACCACTAATAGAGCACATCGAGTTTGTGAACCACCGACACAGAGCAAAATGAGGAGCAATTGGTGACTAAGGATTGCATGTTAAAATCGGGGATGACATTGAAAGCAAAGGCGGGTGTGACCTACCTGGAAGGCAGGAAGATCACTTTATATATAGATTGTTCTCGAGGAAAGAAATGTCTCTCCAAACATAAGGCCAAAGGAAAAACAGAACAAAAAGGTGTTGGTGACAAAGAGGTAGGCAGCCACTCTGCTGTGAGGATGCTGTGTGTATCTAAGGGATTGCAAATCGATATCCCATTTCCCTTGGAGTTTCCGCAGCTGCCCACAGGGCGACTCCTGACTCCAGGATAAATAGGGCCATAGCGCCTGGCTGGAGAACAATGAATTTTCCAGATGGGCCACATATCCTTTCAATGGCCTTTCAGGAAACAACTTGGAGGGGAGCTGGTTGCCCTGAGAGAAGGGCACTCGCCTACTCACAGCCTCCTCCCAGCCGGTTCCCCAGGGGCGACATAGATCCTCTGCAGTCAGATGGGGCTGTGTACTATTATCTGTGTACAGATTTTCCTATCCACTGGACTACAATTACCTTGAGGGCCGGGCCATCTTGCATTTTTCTCGATCACATCACCTGTATCCTTCAGGACTGTTGCGCTGCAGTCACAGGTGACAAAGGTCGGTTTCTTGCTCACACTGTGTGTCTGTCACGGGTCCAGTCTGGGCTGGGCTCCACGGCATCCTCACTCTGGTACCCTCCTGATCCGTGCAGCTTTTAGCACCTGGGCTGCTGCCAGGCACCAGGGAAGGGAGAAGGAAATGTGGTGGTTTTCACACTGAAGCTTAAAGGCCCCCGCCTGGGAGTCACAGGTGACTTCTCACATTTCACTGGACAAAGAAAATTGCATGGCCCCTTTTAAATTGAAGGAACCAAGAAGTTCAATGAACTTGGTCCTTTGAAGGAGGAAGCCAGAAATATTGATTGAGAGTGAGGGTGACTGCTACACTGCTGTGACAAACTAACTGGGGCTTGGAACTGTGCAGGCAGGTGCATGAAATGGGCTTGCCATGAATCCAGAGGCAATACGAATGGGGAACATAGAGGGACGCATGGGTCTGGGGGTCCAGAGCAAGTCTTATTGTTGTAAACTAGGACACATTGGCTCTTTAACTTCAAGTTTCCCCATTGTCTGTAAGCTAGGCAGGCACATACGGGCTGAGCTGGCATTTCCAGCTCCATAATTTGAATTCTGAATGCTCTTCATGATCTTCTATACCCCAAACCTACCACTTGGGACTGCTTGCCACAAAACATGCCAATGACATTCATAATCAATATCCCAAGTGTAGACAGCTAACAAACCTGAGCAGGGAACTTGGGTCAACCTTATGCCCCAGCTGTTTCTACTGCAATGTGAACTCCTTTCCTAAAGTTAGACTAGCAGAGCTGTCAGAAGCTCAGATTTCACCTTCAGCACTTACTGTGTGTGGCCTTAGGCAAGTGACTTATCTTCTCTGTCCTTGGTATCCTTCCAGGAGATTTTCTTTGAGGATTAGATGAGCTTATATGTGTAAAACCTTGTAGTATCATGCGTGATGCTCATTGAGTACTGGATGATGAATGTTGGCCGTGAACCTGAATATTAGTATTCATTTTGTATGCTGAGGTTCCCATTGGCTGTAGCCTCAGTTTCACCATCTGTGAAGCAGAAACACTGGGAAGACTTCATGAGAGAGTTGCAAGACTTAAAGTTGGTGGAATTGTTACCGAAAGTTCAGCATTTTTCTCTGAGTTCGTATCAGAAGAATGAAGGACAAGTGATTTGAAGAGAAGGAAAGGGAGGTTGCCAGCCAAGGAGGAGAAAGGCAGACTCCTGTCTTAAAGCACCATTGTCCTATCTATAAGCAGAAATACAGAGCTTTTAAAGGGAGGATTTTCAGCTTCAAGGTATTGTTGTTTAACTATAGTTGATGATTCTGATGAGCCACCTCCTGTGGTACAAAGAACACTCCCCTGCCCCTCTCGATCACTGCTCACAAATCGTTTCTACCCTTTTCCAGGAAGCTCCCTCCGTTACAGAAGTGCCTTACACAGTGATGACTCAAGATCAGTAACAGGTACCCAGGCATTTCTTCCCCTGGTTCCAGAACTCTCCAACCACCTGGCTGGCAGCAAGCCTTCAGCCTCCCTGCGTTCTCTGCCTGTCTTCCTGAGCCAGGAGGGCTTTGTATGGCCAGGAAGGAAAATAAGATTAATCCCAAGATGGGTGGGGGTTGTCTGTTTGTTGTCTTAATGGGTTAAGTCTCATCATTAAATTTCCCTGAGCTGAAGGCTTTCTGTGGAAGGAATAACAGCCGGGCCCGAACACCCTGAAAGCTCTATTAATCTTTCCATAACCCCATTAACACTCACTGCATATTTTCTATGAAAAAGGATTGGAAATGACCAGAGCCCACAGAGTGGAAATATCTGTCATGTGCTCAGCAGCCGAGGCAAGGCCCCGCAGCTCACAATGGGGACGCTGTTGGAACGCTCTTCCCTTGGAATTGTTAAGGGGGAGGCGGACGGAGAGGGAGAGAAAGAATCACTTAACCCCGGGAATCTTATAACTTGACAATCATTACAATAGAGTCACCTGTACTTTCCATCTAGAAATATCTATTACCATGAACCCGGGGTTAGATGCCTCCACCCCAGGGGAAATCCGGAAGCAGAGATTTATTCGTGCAGCAATAATTGAGGAGTTCATTTGATTCCAGTGTGGATCTTTCAGCCACAATCAATTTCACGCTCTGTCATAAATAATGGAGGTCGCCAAGGCGGCCGGGCGGGGCGTGGGCTCTGGCTGGTACTGTTGACAGCATTCAAACAGCGTCGACAGAGAGGGGGACAGGGCCCACGGTGACTGCACGCTCAGAGAGAGTTTGAGTGGCAGGGTGTTTTTCATTTTTTTCTCTTTTTTTAAAACAGACCTTGCCCCTCCTAGAATGAGAAAATCGTTCGGATATTGCAGATTAACTGCTCGGGGAGCTGCAGGCTCTCAGCAGTGGGCGCACACACCCTGGCAGCGAGAGTGTGCTGTAATAGCCCAACTTCACATTCAGTCCCCCAGGGCGCCCGGCCTGCTTCTCAGGGAAACCCTGTCGGTGGAGGAGCTATTAAGTGGACTGCTGTAATTGGCAGAGTGTCGGGGATGCTCCAGGTGAGGCTCCCT